TTGCTTGGTGAAAAGTTATCAAAAAGATTAAGTTAACTAGGATATCACATTTAGCACAATTTGTTCACAGCAAGACGTACACTGTTCCAAAACACTCAAATCTTCAGATTATAGACAGTTACAGCTTTTATCTCTGTTATTTCGGCTCTTCAAATCGTGTTTCACAGATAAGGTGTCAAACCTCAGAATGAAACAGAAAATCCAAAACGAAACAAATCATTTTACTCACGGGTCGAGAGAATTTCTCCTTCACGACTTCTAAATTGCCTGATCTTAGCGCTGTGACTAAGATGCTCATGTCTGCTCCTTCAAAATGATTTACTCTTCAAGAATATCACTCGTGGTCAAATCCAAACAACAAGTCGTCAACTGCTTAAACACTGCTCCTTATATATGCATGTCTAGCTCACGCTATGTCACGTGTGCCATTTTGGTACAGCGCGTTTGCGATCATGGATATTTTCAAAAAGCAAACCAAAAACAAGAAATTATTAATGATGATAAAAAGTAGGACATTGTTTGTCATTACGTGTATTCCTTCCGATTTGAAAATTACTACTAGCCGACTTCATTTACACAATTCGCCCCACGCAATAAAGGGCGGAGGGGAAGGGGGGAGGAGACAGTACGTGCAGGCTACTATCGAAACCCAGCCGACTGGGACTAACGTATGAAAGTAAACCTGATAAAGGAGAAAATTCTTTCACCGTAAACCGGATTGGCGAGAATTCCTGAAAGTGCAATAATCGTGGGTTAGCTTACCTCTCTCTGAACCCTTGATAAGATAAATCTTCTTAGTTGAAACAATGAACTCCGCGATCTGATAATAGACTTATCAACAGTAAGAAAGGAAATTCGCACGAAATCATCCCATTTCAGTTAAAAAAATAAACGTTACAAATTAAAAACGTGATTTTATTCTTATAATGTCAAGATTTTTCGCATTTGTCGAAGGCCTGACTTGTAAGCCCTCAACTTGGTCCAATTGTTTAAGTTCCTCTTTTGAAATGCCTCTCAGTCTTTCTATCTCAGTTGTGGCACGGATAACCTACAGTCTAGTCGTTATACGGTTTCTGTATTTTTAAACACATTTTTTTTATCCAGAACATGAAATTATCGCTGTCAGAAATGTCTCGCTGATCGTTCAATTTCAAAAGGCATCTTCTTACAATTCTCAAAAAAAAATCGTGAGCACACGTCTGTGAGCTTGGCTTCTTCGCTTCTCTTTACTGATTTTCCATCTTACACATGAATCACTATGGTGCTCTTTTTCCAAACCCCACTCCGAATCATCTAAGTACCAATTATTCTCACCGAGAAATCAAACGAAAAGAAAGATGGCTCGGTATTCGGTTAGCATTGACAGGAACCGTGACCCGTCGATTTGCATATGTAATGAAATAGGCCCGAGGGCACTTAAGGATTGATTTCACTTGTATTTTCAAAGTTTTCCGATAAGAGGCCCGAGTTGACAACGTTACACGGCTTCACTTAGTTAAATTGAAATCAATAAATCAAAGGCTCAATCAGCATCGAGTAATCATGCCCTCTTGATTACCAATTAAGAAAAAATGCCCTCTGCTTCAGTTAATCAGCATTCAGTTATTTTGCCGCGCATGTGATAAAAAGAGAAAGCGCCTTGTAGACGAGGTGGCCACGCATGTGTATCCTTTACCAAAAAGGATCGTCTTATGTCTGTGCTTTTTTTTTTTCCCTGTGTTTCATTTCTCCTTCTGTATTCACGTAGAGATTAACCTTTACTTTTGGCGGTGCATTTGGTTTACTGCCTTCTTTTCTCCCCCGCCAAAATCTTACCCTTTTTAATCTTTTTTAAGGCGATAAATTGTGGAAAAATACTTATCCAGTCCGGCTTTCGGGGGTCTAATAATACTCAGAAGACTGAAGACTTCAATTGTTCCTTCACGATACAGTTAGTGGGAAGCCATATGTCACATGCAGTGGCGGATTGCTAAAGGCAGCGAAACCGTTAATTTATTACAATAAAAAAAACTCCAGAAGTCAATATAACAGTTTAATTTTAATAGGAGTGCCGAAGTAAGAGTTCAGAGCAGCTAGATTAGTGAATGTGGTCAGATTTCTGCGTAACAAACAAGATCAGCTCAGTGGCCTGTTGTGAGTTGTGTTGTTGTGAGAAAGGAATAGATAAGAATTAAATAGAGAAGAAATAAAAAAGCAAAATAAAGTAAATGTGCCAATGGATAAGTAATTACTCGAGCTTCCGTAGGAAAGCCCGAGTCTTAAAATGCAAGCCGTTCTTGGTTGCCAAAAGTGGGGTCATGGTCCTAGGCGTTCCTTGCGTAAACTGCGGAAACTGGGGATGAGATTGCGACAACTTGTTATATATTGAACGCTACCTTTAATTTGCAATAAATTTGTGTCATTGTGTAAATTTTAATTGCGTAAATTTGTTTAAGTAATTGTTATAAGTTTACTTCATTTAAGTTGTCCACCATAAGTCTTATTATTTATCTCTTGAAATTTTAGGTCGTGATTTTTCTTTCTAACTAAAGAAGAATCCTTTTTTGCTGTGCATAAAGTCGCGCCTGACCGTAAGCAAAGCTGTGTACGATTGTGTAAATCAGCTTAACGGATATAGTTTTTAGATAGTAAAAATATCGCACCATATTTGTGCAAGTAAATTACATTTTTTGTCAAAAACAGCGACCGAGGTTAATCGGTCATCTGAAGATATTGCATCGACAACGTATTTAATTCGAAATTTGCGCGTGCATGATTGCCATCTCCTTCAAGTTTAAGGCCCGGCCAAACGCACGCAACATTTCAACACAACATCTTACAAAATTTTTGAATCGTGTTGTGAGATGTTGCGAAGGACATCCAAAACTGTTGCAACAAAAATTTGACCATTTTCAAACTTGATCCAACACCATCCAACATATTGCAACATGTTGTCACAGGTTGGCCAAAGTTACATAATCTTTACAAGGATTTAACAATGACTAAATTCCGGGAAATGAAAAGGGTTATGTAATTTGTATAACTACTAGACAATACGTGCTAATTGCATTGTTGGAGAGAGAAAATAGTAGGAATTCATGAGAGTCAATGATTATATCATCTTTGCAAGTAGTTAACAATGGCTGAATTGGGGAATGAAAAAGGATTATGCAATTTGTATTATTACTGGACAATGCTTGCCAGTTGCATTGTTGGTGTACCAAAACATCAATATGAAGGGGCGACTGAAATCGTCGATGTAATGCAGAGAGAGAACAATAGGATTTTATGAGGGTCAATAATTATAATAGTTAATTACTTCGGTTCGCAGCATTATTGGGTATAATGCTGCGAACCTCAGTAATTATTTAATAGATAATTACTGAGGTTCGCAGCATTATACCCAATAATGCTGCGAACCGAAGTAATTAACTATTATAATTATTGACCCTCATAAAATCCTATTGTTATAATTTAGTCATTGTTAAATCCTTGTAAAGATTATGTAACTTTCCACATCTTTCAGGTGTTTGATTGAATTTCATGCAAACGTAATTTGCATTGTATATTAACGCAATGCACTTGGTTATTTGAGTTGTTTGTTGGAAGGTAAAGAGTTGCTACTGTTTTGAAGCTTGATGGAGGATTCTTCGGAGGACGAATCTGCCATTTTCATAACGCAGAGCCAGAGGTCGGAAAATGCCGTTGCCGTTGCCCTTCGACGAAGTTGCGCCACACGATTGTACGAAGGTGGTGTGCCAGAACAAGTTATTGTAGAAACCACTGGTCACCGATCATGTGATGGGGTTAGGGAGTATAAGTGTACCTCATCAACACTTAAAAGGAAAGCAAGTGAAATCTTGCAGGGAGCGACTCCTAAGAGGGCAGAAATAGACGTCAAGGAAAAAAATGAAAAACTGTTTAACAATGATGTTGAGCAAAAATATGATGGACAAAGGGAAGAAACAGGGTTACAGGGGTTAAGCGAAAAGGTTTTAGACGAAAACCAGAGCGAAGATTATAATCAGTCAGTTGTAATTAGTACTCACAGTACGAAAATTGTTATTTCTTACAAGTGAGAAAGACTGTCATTGTCAGATGTGCCCTAAATAAACTGTAAAATGTTTTCGTCTGTACGTCTCCTGGAATGGTACTTCTCATGGTGTATTCATTTACTTTTTAACTTCAGATCTTCATCATAAATTATGCGCGGACATTCGCGAATTTTCAAAAATTACTGAGTGGAAAAGTAACGAAGTAAATACCACAGTCATGCAGCAATATTAAAAATATTGCTGGAAGCAGGCTGCATTATTAAAAATATTGCAGTGCAGCCAGCCCACTGCAATATTGAACGTTTTAGCGCGTTTAGGATTACCCCTGATAATTTCCCTGCTACCAAAAAGGACCGTCACCGTTTTCCTCAGACAGTTGGACTTGACTGAATATGAATACTTTCTCAGGCTGAAATCGCCGATATAATGCTGAGAGAGAACAATAGGATTTTATGAGGGTCAGTAATTATTAATTCATAAATCATCATGGGTTAACTTCCAACCAACCAAGCGTGAGGGCCGTTCTGGGGAATATTGACTCGAAGTCGTGGCAGTAAAGACCAAGTGAGTTCAATACAAAAACGACCGAAGACCAATATTCCTCAGTGCATCGAGCAAGCGAGGTAAGTAAGTTATTTATGATATGGCACTGGGACCATACTTGTTTATTTTCAATTCGCCGGTTTTCACGAACAAGAATGCATGGCCTTCCGAGGAAACAGTCTGTAGGGCAAAATACCGACCAATTAAGAACCAATCAGAACGCTTGGATTTTTCTCAGGACTACATTACCATATAAATAATACAGAATATTTACCGCCGCGCCTTATTTAGTTGTGGAAAATATTCTCCTGGCATGTTGAAAAAAGTAATGAACTCTTTTCAAGGTTAATTTCAAGCACCTAATCAAAAGTATTCACTCGTTTTTTTTTTACAATTTCATTTTATTAATCTGATGCGATAAAATTCTATCTTGTGACTAATACTCTCATCATTTTCTTTGTTATTGTTATGCAGTCTATCATGTTATTTCTATAAATTTTTCTTTCCATTCTAAATATCTGTGGTGATCTTTTTTAAATATGAATTCTCCTCAGGAAGTTTGCTGAATTCGCAAACTTCCACAAAACGCACTTTCCTCCTTCACATCTTAGGAGCTGAAACTGATAATGTTAGTCCACTTCCGGCTAGATTAGGATAATGAATACTGAAAAAGAAATCATGTTAGGGAGAAGAACAAAAACAACAAAATCGCTGAAATTGACAGTGTACTTTAAATTATCGCAAATACCTTTCTAACTTCTGTCTGTCTCCCCAGCTTCCTTAATTATTTCTAGACGAGGATCTCTTGGTACAAAATTCCTTACATTACGGTAAACTCGGAAAAACATAGGAAATTTTCGTTACCTTAATAATTCATTCTATAACAACTTCCATCTTATCAAACCCTACTAATCATGTAAACGCCAGACCTAAGTTACCCACCACCCAGTGATAGCCTTTCCACTTAAACAGTGTTGCGTCCCTTAAAAATATGATCCAAGATAAATGTAAATTATATATAGATCAGTAAGTTTTCAGTTAAACCCGCCTTTCTCCTCCCCTAGAATGTTGTGAAATTAAGAAGTATCAAGGCCATAACTCTCGTCTTTCCTTTCCGTCCAATCAAATTTGGGAAAAGAGGCTCTGAGTTAAAAATTCTGGTAGGTTGTTTTAAATAATAACGGAAAACATAGGATTACTATAAAGAATTGTTCAAAAATAGGACTCGTGGATATGTATACTTTAAATACACAACAAAATAAGAGGTTTTGAAATGCCAGTTTCAATTGGGTTAAACTATCGTTAACTTTTGATAACTCATTATATTAGATAGCCTCCTCGCTGTTGTTGTTCTTTATAACGTTTCACTAATAGGCTAGAAGTCACGCGGCAGTACTTAATTACATTCTTTTCTGTCTATATTAGGCTTTTTTAGAAATTATACGAAATCGTTATTGAAATTCGTCCTCTACTTCAACACATACTTGGTCAGTTACTCTATTATTTAAAATCTTATTTAAGTTCTGTCTCCATGGTATCATCAATTCTACATGCATAGTCTGGCAGGGTGGCTTTTGATTTAAAGACCAGTTGCTTCATTTAGAACCTTTCCACAGTGGGCACAAAACTTGTCAAACATGTTTATCTTGTGACCACACCTGCTACAAAAACGGCTCAAAGGAAGCCCACAGGCCCGCTCTCCTAGCCTAGAATCGCCACCGTAAGGGTTATGCGGCATAGAAGAAAACTTGATTGCCATTTCCGGTTTAGGTTTCACGAGCAACGGCGGCGGAAGTGGTGATGGTGGGTAAATTCTTGAAGGCGAACATGCATGCGTGCTGGGCAACGGTCTCGTTATGACGTTTCGAGTCATTGGACCATGCAGGAAGGGAGGAGTGTGATTGGCTGTAGGAAGGCCGCATCCAGCCAACGCTGACATATTATTGCTTCTTGATTCTTGAGAGGACAACAATAGCTCAATGCTTTCTACTACGCTGCCATGGCAACTCTGAAGAATGAGCTCCAGTGTGCCCTTGTTATGGTGAGGAAACAGCTTGCCAAGTAATTCCATTGGTGGATGCCTTAGAGACAGCATACTTAGCTCTTTTGAAATCCTTGGATATCTGAAATCATGAGGCCTTTCATGAAAGTTTTCCAGTAGGTATTTATGGTTTGGATTTATATTTTGGTCGACAGAATGATCAGGAGTTTTTCTTTCCTCGGCGGAGCTGGTGTGGACACCTTTTTCAGTATGCTCGCGAGGTTCTGGTTTAACTTCGAGGTCTGGGGAGAGGGAAATTCTTTTGGGGCTGGTTCCCTCTTCTTCTTCATCCTCCGAGACTGAGCCGCACCGCTTCAGAGGTTCTGTACCTGAAGACAAAAGTATAATTGAGTGCATAGCTTCTGCTTTCGGTGTTCGGTATTTCGATTGGTCTCTTGAAATATATACTAAAAAAATTCGTGTTTTGTATAGGTAATCACATGATTTCGAGTGCAATTTGGAATAAATAAGCACGAGTAAATTTTTTTAAAGACTAACAAAATTGCCGACACGAGCCCGTAGGGCGAGTGCAATTTATGGTCTTTGAAAAAATTAACAAGTGCTTGTTTATTCCGAATTGCACGAGAAAAATCATGTGATTACGTGTTAATAATATACATGGAAAAATACGAGATGGCTTATCATAATTAAACATAAGCAAAGCGCGCATCAAGTGCAAAAATAATTTATTCAAATCACGCGTTCGGTCAAAACAACCGCGTACGATCAAAACAATAATAAATTATGCAATGATATCTTCACATCTTTAAGGTGTAAAAGAGTTCAAGGAATTGTTCAGTCTGTGTCCGAATCACTTTCGATGAAATGGAATCGTCGTTTCCGAGGTTTAACCATGTTTGTTTTCAATTTCGGCGTTGGATCGCTCGAGCAAAGTGTTAAGCTGGGTCGGCTCGTAATTTTCGATTTCCTCGGCAATTCCCTTCTCTAAACACCACTTTTTCCAATCCGACAACCAAAAAGCAGTGCTTTTTACAGTGTTTTCGTTGTTTAAGCTGTTTTTCAGCTGCGGTGGCAAAAGAAAGCCTACGTAAAACGCCGGCCATTGCTTCGCTCGCAAATTTTCAAATTTTCAAATTTTGTTGCGACATCCAAGGCTCGCATTTGATTGGCTATCTGTGAGTTTCTTTGATTATTGACCAATCAGAATGTCTTATTTGTTTCTTTCTTTGCACTGAATTAACCCTCTTCTGCACTGAATTAACTCTCTTCTGCACTGAATTACCTGAAAACTGCATTTATCTTATCCAATCAGAACTGAGTAATTTTTCCATGTATATTGTTAATTAAAGAAAATCGCTTAAGAGCTATTGAGGTTAAGGGGAAATGAAGTGAAAAATACGCTATTGCTTTTTTTCAGTCATGGTTGTAAATTTCAAATTGTGGTAGCAACCTATGCTCTTTCGTAGTTAATAATATACATGAAAAAATTACCGCCACCGCGGCTGAAAAACAGCTCAAACAACGAAAACACTGTAAAAAGCACTGCTTTTTGGTTGTCAGTTCGGAAAAAGTGGTGTTTAGAGAAGGGAATTGCCAAGGAAATCCCTTATGAAAGAGCTAGAAATAACGACAATCCAAATGAAAACTGTTATGGCCTACCAGCTTGTGGTCTAATTTCCGTTATCCTTGGTTCCAGATGACCAATCTCTGCTTGAGGTGGATGGTGATAAAAATGGTGTCGATGGCTGCTTGGGAATCCTGGAAAATCGATTGAAAGTGTTCTTAGAGGCAAATTCAGGCTTAGCATATTAAATATCATCATGACAATTTGAAAAAGGTTGATGAAAAAATTTTCACGGGGCAAAGCAGCTAAAATAAAGTAAGAGGAGAATGAAAGTTGCGAATTGAGAAAGTTATGAAGGAGCGAACCAGGAGGGAAAGGAAGAATGGGAAAATAAAGGGAAGGGAAATACGAAAATGGAAATTGGCCCTACCAGCTAATCCGTTGGTTTGAAACACCATGGAGTACGTCAACCGGGCGTTTTCCAGTTCTCTTTGATATTTTGCCCTCAACTCAGCTCCTTTTCTCTGCTGTCTCAGTAAGGCAACACGTGCGGCGGTCACTCGCTGTCTCTCGGTAATAAGTTGGCACTTTGCACAAGTGCAGTCCCTCCAACGGCAATAATGTTTGTGACCCTTGAGCCAAGAAACTGTGCCATGCGTGCGACAGCGAGCACATTTCGGAACTCTGTGATGAAGGGTAGAAGAAGTGCCGGTCTCTTCCTCTTCTTGATTTTCGGGCTCCTCTTTGCTGTCACTCATAATTCTTAACTATAAAAAAAGATAAAGAGAGATTGTAAGAGGGGAAGTCTAACCTCATCTGTGAAGTCCCATTACAGGGAAATAAAAAAAATTGTAAACTGCTCAGGTAGACTTATCAGTCATTCCTCTTTAGATGTGAAGCACTGTTATAATTGCTTAAGATCGTATCCAAAATTGGCTTAAGATACAATTATTCACCGTACCAAAAAGAAGATGGTTAATTTTTTATGCCTAATGATTTTAATGAACATTGATGTTTATCAGTAAATGACACAGCATAATTGTTTACAGTATTGATTCTTGATAAGTACAGAGTAGATATAGGATCAGAACAAATGTGTTAAGAGTTACTTAGCATATTCCCTATTTCGATGTGAAACCTGTCCTAAAGTGTGGAAAAAAAACCTTAGAGGAGAGCTAGATGTGAAAATCTAGTGAAAAACAAGCACGCCTGAATAATTCTGACCAGTAAACACCCTTGATTACGGATAAAACTCTTAAGTTTGTATACCTAATAACAGAAAACGGGTGTTTTACAAGTCAAAATCAAGAAGTATTGTTTGAAAAAGCCTTGAAGCTATGAAGATTAAGAACACTTTTCGACTCTTTAAATGGACTGCGGTTAGATCAATAAAAACAGCTGAGAAAGGCTCCTATTGCAAAGAGGTCCTAAAGAAAACACAAAAATATCATAGATATTACTACTTAATAAGTTCAAATACGGACTCCAGCCACAGTAGTTGAACCAAACTGATATTTCTTTGAATCATTATACACGACTTCTTGAAAATGAATGACTCAACTGAATTTGTTGTTTTCCACTTTCTTGTTTCATTTTGTATCTCGTTTTTCTAGTTGTTTTTACCTAATCCTCACGTTAAGCCAAGTAATGAATAGACAATTAGTCAATACCGAGAGTTTGACAAACAAACTTTATACGGAAATAAAATGTCATCTTATTGAAAGTTTGGGGAACAATTGGACCATTTTTAAAGGAAATTTCCATAATAGAGAACTTTCCAGCCAGCTAAGAAATTCCTTTCGCAATACCGATTGACTGTCGTATTTTCTGTTATTCTACTTCTTTTTTTCGTTTACGTGTTTTGCTACAGTTTTCCGATAACTCTACCCTTAATGGTTATCTTTTGTCTCAGTCGAACTCAGGATTAGTATATTGTTTCAAAAGGAGTCATTTTTGATAAAAAAAAAATCTTATCCTATATCATATGGGAAGCCAAAAATTTAACCGTGCAGAAGAAATACGATAAAGGCTGGAAAGTATAAAACAAATTTGAATCTTTTTGAGCAGAGACGTGTTTAGGAGACATTGTACCAAAATTTCTACTTCTCTTTGTTGAATAGCCGTACCTGCATAGTCTTGACTTCACGATATTTTTCAGGAATGACTACAATTTACTTTACGAGGTGAACAAGTGAAACTTCGAGTACCTTGGCCCTTTTCATTGTTCGTATATATCATTAGTTGAACATTTGTCTGGACGCTAAAACATCCTGTAATCTGATAACTGGCAAAAAAAATTCAATTTTAAACAGTGTTTTTAGAGCTTGAGTCTCAATAAAATAAGTAAAAATTTTGAAACAGAGTTCTGGGTTGTTCATGACAGTCCATTTCTTGAAATACTCAACTTTTTTTTTGACTACACAATGTTGTTTTCGTGGTACACAGATATTTGAAGAAAAAAAGTTCGCGATGTTTCCATTTGTTGTTGTTGTCAAACAAATATTTTCTTGGAATCAATTCTTTTTTTTAAAGAATTTCAATTTACAGATACAACTTCTAACAATCAGACTAACAGTTTCTAGAAGGATAGTTATAATTATGAATCTAGAGCCAGAAACTATTTAAGAAGCTTATAGGTGATGTGGAAAAAGCGACGGAACTTTTCACATGTCAGTATATAAAATTAAAAACCAAGACTCGGAGACAACACTAGGCGCCACAGAATCTGCAGCATTGCATACTTGTACAAAGAGTTGATGATATTTCGCAAGGAGAGCTGAGTAATTTACGAAATAATGTTAAAATATTAACCAGGAAACAATAATTTGTGTTTTCCTAAAGCTGCCCAATTATAAGTAGAAAAAATAACTAGCTTGGGAAACAAACTAACTTGATATTGTATGGGTTTAGAAATGCTGCGTTGCTTAAAGCTGTCTTTGAAGCATTAAGACTTCATACAAATAACTGAAAATTAAGTTGCAACACATAGCATTGTTTTCGATCGAATTGACTTTTAAAAAATCCGTCGAAGTAAAATTTATGGTAAATTATGTTTTACATCAGAAAGTAAACAGGAACTTTAAAACCCCAATATGTTGTCATTTGTTAACTAAATGTAGCGATGCGATGTGGATTTTAACAGCGTACATGATGTTACAATAAAGCCTCTTTGAATGTCAGATTTCATTTTGGTACAAGGCGATCGAGGGCAACCGAAAACCTCTTTTGAACAAGTGTTTAAACCTATTTTGATAAATTAGACGAGATGATTTCTTATTTCGTAATCGGCTAAAATTGATCCAGTGTAACATTGAAAATAGATTAGATTCAAAATCAGTGAAATTGTCTTAAACTGTGAGAAATGGCGTGGATCATGTGGGAGATTCAGCATACAAGGTTAGATTAGGCTCGCACTTCTTATACGTGGATTTGACAAATAATTGTTAATTGGAGGAAATCTCTGTCATACCTTGAACCCGTCGATGTACTTGAACTGTTGTTGGCGCAAAAGAAATCAAGGGTATCTACCACGAGGCAAAGATACGGTCACAGACCTCGAGGAAGTAAGCGTGATCTGAACAACTAGATGACAGAACTTTTCTTTGTTGCATAAATGTAGTTACCGATTCAACGGCTAAATATTTCGAGGGAGGGGCTTCATCCATTAGACTGTACTGGTGGATAGGTATAGAATTACGTGAAGCTTGCGCTATGTTAAAAGCTTTTCAATTTACCATCTGTCAAATTCAAATTCAACAAACTCAAAAGCACGGTACGTTTAAGATATATTGTTACCCGAATTTTCCGTAGTAAACTTCCAATGTCATCCGAGAACAAAAAATTGTACTCGTAACTTCCCGTACACCTGGTGTAAGAATACCCCGAACAGGAAGATGCGATGGCAGCTTACGAAAATTTATTTCAATTTAATAAGCAGCCTCCTTTGTCACTGGTATAAACGTTTACTTAAAGAATCATTAATACATTTGTGGTCCTTTTAACATAAAAGTTTTCACGTTGTTCCTCTGTTAACTTGTTTAACATGATAGGAGTTTTAGATGCTTCTGTTAAAATAATAAAATTGTCACAGTTGAAGTAAAAACATCTGCTACAAAAACAAAACAAATTATTGTCTTTAATTTCACTAAAATTATAATTGGATTGCACTTCTAGCCATTTTAAGGCTGTTTTGGCGCCATTTGAAGCCTTTGTTTTTAGCATAAGTTTAAAATTTTTCAGAGTAGTTGACAATTGCCTTTCTTAGTTGACATTTCTCCAAAAAAGTATTTTTGTTTTGGTCTTTTTGTTATGTAGCATTTGAAGTTAACGCTACGGCGTTCTATTTTACTGTTCCAGAAGTTACTGGAATTTTTCTTTCAAAAGAAAGAACGCTTATAATTTATCTTGAGAGACTTTTACTTGTTTATGAATACGTAAGGCAGGTGCAACCTGACTTTGAGATGGACAATTATTTTCAACTCCAAAGTGGCTTGGTCACCCGTTAGAATAACACTGGGGTACTAATTCGCCTCTGCTTTTGTTAAGTACTCAGAAATGAAATGTCTATGACAACCATTAGCATGACAAATGCCACAAGCAAGATTTTAACTAAGCCCAAATACTATGTTTCTCTGTTCCGTGAGGTAAATGACACTTCCTTCATTTGAGCTGGTGAATCCTCAAAATTATCAATCGCGAAAATGCAAAGTCGACGAATTTCATCGTGGTGTGATCAACGCAGACTCAATTTTTGTGGGTAATATTTAGAGGGATCATTTTCGCTTCGAGAAAATATCTCAGTTATTCCTTGGAAAGATTTCAAATTAACAAGTTTACTCGTATTTAAGTTTACAGTTTCCACGAAAGCTAAAGTTATTGTCACCAAAGTATTGTCCCTTTAGAAGTGTCGGATTAACCCGTTTGTAATAGTACTATGAGAGGTTGAATAAATGAACCAAAATGGTTACATTTTGAAGGTTTCAGTCTTATTCAATCTGCTAACTCTGTAAACAGCTTACGGCTTCAGGCACAAATCGTTCAGCGTGGCTAATATAGATTGCCCGAGGCATTTTCTAATGCCAGTAGCAGAAAACTTCGTTATTGCACGCAAATGTAAGCGCCGTGTCTTACCACCGAGTGTTTCAATATCCCTGAGTTTACGTCCGCATTTCTGAAAATTAAATGCTTCGGGACTTGGTATTGAATGTTCTTAATTGTTGGTGTACATGCGAGATAGATGGCTATATTGCAGCCCGTTAGTACTTTATGATGTTAGATTGTTCCAGACGATGAATGGCCGCCTCACGCGACAGCAAATCACGAAATCTACCTCTAAAGCTTGTGCTTTTTATTTTCAACAGCAGAACTGAGTTTCTAAAGAAACACCCATACGGTTCGGAATTTAATTTGCTGAGTTTTTATTAAGATGCACACTTACAAGACTAAATTCAAATTAATAAAATAGAGCCATGTATTGTTTTGATCCGTCGCCTGAGGGTTTTACGTCGTTTGTTTTTATACGCTTACGTGTCTGACACAAATGTTTCCATGTTAAACTTACTGAAATGGGTCAACAGGCTGAAGACACAGGCCTTCGACTCAGATGACATTATTTGCTGGGGATAGGGGCAATGTTATACGAAAGCGTGTCTAGGACCTAGAGGTCCAATTATAAAATAATTAATTCATCAATAAAGTTTTTCCGCAATTTTAAGGGCTCAATTTTTTAACATGCAGATGCGCCTTAATGTCCTAAACCTTAAAAACTTGAAATCAATTAGATTTGGTCTGGTTCGCGATTACTGGAGATCCAAGGACATTCGGTATCGTACTGATGTAATAGGAAGATCCTGTCATGGCTCAAAATGATTTCGTGTTACAATACAAGCTGTATTCCTTAAAGGAATATAGAACTTAAATTTCTTGGACTACAAGCTTTCAATTGTTTTGTATCCCCTCGACTTGATACTTTTGTAATGACTGCCATCTAACTATTTAAAACTCCCCTATAAGATCATCGCAATTTTCTATCTGTTAGTTGTTTGTTTCTTTCGGATCCGATTCAATTTTTCCGCTTCCATTAGCTTCAAAGGACATCTTGTCAATCTTGGATAGATTTCAACACGGGTGGTATCATTGAGTTAATCAACCCGCCTAACTATAGCTCAGCGAGATACCCGCTGTCCTTGGCTGACGCACGTGGTCTAAAATTTCATTTTCCCTTCTCGACGTTTTGTCAATTGTACTTAGTTTCTTTTGTTTCGTTCTAATAGAGAAGCAAAACGCGTTGGAAACGGAGGGATATCATTAGTAAGTCTTAATTTTTATCTCAAAATAGTTCAAATTTTCTCTCTAAAACGTTATTTTCTGTGCCCCAAGAGAATCTGCATGGAAATTTTAAATCCTAAGCAAGTAACAGCCTAGGTCTGCAAATTCCATACTTGTCCTGATATTGCTCGAAAGGTTTTATTATAAATTTCTCTCAGTGATATCAGTTAGTTTTAGATAACTTGAAGTTCACGCCAGAGTAATAGGTATAGCATCACCTTTTTGAAAACTTATTAAAGAAAAACTTGACGTAGTCGTCTCCATTGCAGTTCGTCTTGAATAATAAACAGGACGTAAGTCCCCAAATCGACCTGGTTGTAGTAATATCTTTCTAATTCTTTTACTCCGTCATTTGACGATAATTTCCATAATTTAGAATATTTTAGTGCTAAAAAAAATTTTGCTTATGTGGCTAATGAAGTCTGAGTATCCACCATTTACTAGCCGCCAGTGAATTTGCAACAAATAATATTCAACTTTGTGCTAATTATATCTTTTCTAAGATGGAATTGAAAGTGATAAATTCAATGAATAAATTTTCTTCTCGCCGTAAATACAAACTAATGGTACAAAACATAAGAGAGAAATATTCTTACAGAGTACATTCTGAAGATGATTAATTTTTCCAAGAATCGATGATTAACAATCGATGATGGAAATCACACCGGGAATTGGAAGCCGTAAATCATTTGGCTCGAGGTGAAGTAATAAATTTGATAAACATCTTAGTGTCCCGAGGCTGAACTGCATGTCTTTCTTATTGGGATTAAACAATCCGAAGAGCTTTGGCTGGTTCAGCTTTAGATAAATTCAACTTACGGTGTAAGTACCCTTCGGTAAAGCACGACAGTATTGGATTAACAGCGGCAACAAAACCTACAATTGACAATTTTTAAATTTATTTGAGAGTCAAAACGACCTTTTTAGCCCCTTTTTAAGTGTTGGGAACTTGACTTATCCATGAACTTTCAAGGTGTTCACCAATTCGTTTCCTCCTGTGCGAGGAAACTTCTTCGAGAATTTTACAATCGCCTGGCAAGACAACATGATAGTTATTTTGGTGTAAGACATGTAAATTATGGTCTTTCGTGTGCATGTGGTTTTAAACATTAAGTTTCAGACACTGAAAGACAGAAAAAAATTCGGTCAACTCCCCCTTAGGCGCCAAAGCGGCGCCAATTTTTTGTAGAAAGCATACGAAAGTAACGTCTTCAAACTACTACCAAATGATGTAGACAAAGTGTATTTAAGGTCGAGTGGTTGGTTTGAAAAAGTTCAAAATAACATATAATGCATTTTCCAAGGCCACTATTCAGTTCAAATAAAAAAGATCTCGTGATCGAAGAAATATCTGTTTATGCGACCTGGAGATGTGAGCGATTTAAGAAAATTTTGCAAAACAGAATGAGGTTTAAGTTCAAAATCAAGTTGCGTTATCATTTGGTCAACCCACAGAATACCCAGTGAAACTATCAATTTTGATCAGGCCTACACGAGTGCCTACAGTAATGCAAATTATCCAACACAATATTAAATTAAAAGAGCTCTTTTGGGGGCGAACTGTGTACATTTTGGTGGTACACGACGAGACACAATGCCGGAGCTGACACTTAACTTCGAAGATGCCGATCTACTTTATATACAACAGCATTAAAAGTCGATGAGATGATCAAGAAAAAGCACGCAATTTTTTCGGAAAACTTTTCACAGGCAAATATCAACTTGAAACGAGAGGTAGCAATTAATACTCGTGAGGGGATTGTTAGTAATTATTACTATTTAAACAGCTTTAGTTGTTACCCCCAAGAAATAAGAAAGTTTGTCTTCTCTTTTATGTTATGTCTTGGAAGAGAAAATCTCGATGAAAGGAAAAAAAAACGAAAGGAGGCGGACAATACTATTAATTCTTTAGTTTTCGTAGAAAGTTTTCAAGGCTGGCCGACTTCTGAAAATTTTACCTCGAGGGAAAACTTAGCACGGATCGAATTTTGGTATGAATCGCAAGTATCTGTTAACTGTTTGAGCAAAATTAACTTTATGCAAAATTGGTCTCTTTATTGTGATCCGAAAAAGTAATTGAAATTAGTACGCTTCATTGTTAACGACTTAAACAGCCTCCATGCGCCAAATCCCTTTCCGTTTTATCTCACAGATTTTTTGTGTCTCCTTTCCGGTCAAGCGGCTAATTCCCAATCTGAGAAGATTTAATACACATACACTGCCGCTTTATGTCAGACGTGAAATCTTTTTATTACAAGAATTGTTATCTTGTTTTGAGACGATAACGCCGGGGAAATGAATTATAAATTTCAACCTCTCGACGTTTAAAAGCGACTTTACAATGACGGTCAAAATTGAGCACGGTTAATTTCTGTATAACTTACGATGTACGATTACCAAGTGAAATTGCGGTAATAACAGTCGCTGATTGATGGCAATGATTAGTCGTTTTCCTCAATATTCACGCAAAACAAGCAAATTTCATGTCTGAATTTGTTGTTGTCTTTCGTCACGATGGGACCACTGAACATATACAAACACACAAAGTAATGATTTCGAACAAAGAAAGCTTTCGACGACGAACGGCTTAAATTTAACAGATTGCAGTCGCTTTCACACTATCTATAAAATAAATTTACAAGTTGCCTTTATTGTCGCTGCCTGCGATACTTAATGGCGAGAAATATCGTCACATTTTGAATAGATAAGTTTACATTACACCCAGTCTTAACAGTAATATCTAAAAATGATTAATTCTCAATTGACTTTTGGGCATTTCTGTGGGTTTAAGCCTGCCTTTTATTATCCTTTTAAGCACGCACGGCAACTTTTACCATCAATAGAAAAAAAGGATATATGTGCTAGAATCACGACCTAAGTACAAGATTTGAGCTTCAGTTTCACAGCCTAGAGGGGATGATTTTAACATCATGTTCTTCAAAACACGGAGTTTAAAATTTCTTCTACATTTACAAATTACATGCCAGATTTTTCAGGAAAATGAACGCGTTTCGTTTATAATTGATAAATCTAAGAGACATCATTTTTTAATCTGCCAATTATTGCATATTTTTTTTTCTGCAAGGGTTTGTCGCTGTTTTTATAGATATTTCTAGCCCCTGTTCCTGAGTATACGGGATTATGCTGCTTAAAATACATTGAGAGATTGCAGGTGTACAAAAAGCAAAAAATTGCATTTTCCGCCTATATTCAAACCGAAATTAAGTCAGATGAATTTCATTTAAATTAAACTCCTAATGAGAGCTTCAAAATGATTTAGATTGACACACTTTCCTGTAGAAGAGCTAGCTTAGGTTTTATTTCATTTGTAATCCTTAACTGGAACGCCAAGAACTTGAATTACTATAATTTGCTAAATATTTATGAACGCACTAGTACTACGATTACAAAACGTTGTACTTAGTTTTGCCCTCAGATGAATTGAAATCGATCAAATGAATGTACAGTGTTGATCGCAGTTTAAACTTACCTTAATACTTGTGCTCTGGTTGGACTGAACTGAACGACCAATCGAGGTGCTTTTAGTTCAACCTTAAAATGGAAACTAAATCATTAATTGTACTTACTGCAGAGAAAGATGAAGTTTAACGATTGTAGAATTTACACATGCAGTCACGGCATCATTGAAGAAATGGTGGGCTAAAAGATACCTACTTTCACTTCTCTATGGTCGTTTTCCAAAGAGATGCACTCAGCAAAAACGACCATTAACAGCTCTTAACACTCTTTCTCCTCTAGGCAAAATTTACTGAATAGCTGATGTGAGTGGCTTTTAATTTCACCATCTCGCCGAACCGCTGTTTTGTTGAATTTGTCAACGCTGGCTCATGGAACCAAAACGGTAATGTTTAGAATTTGGCGTAAGAGCCTCAAAAACAATAGGCATAGAAAAGACCTTTTAGAATGGCGAGTTGTTGCTTGCTTGTTAATGCGTTGCTCCGCTTGGCCGAGAACAGTAATGTCAACCTTAGAACGAAATTTCATTAACTTCGGAAGTTAGATTTCTTTAATAATTGCTTTCTTAATAACTTAAGTAAGTTAATTGTCAAGCCTGTCGCGTAGAAGACAAGTTTACTAGCAGGTGCTGCCTATGTGACAGCTCTTCAGAGGTCCTGTCTTAAATTTCGTTGGTGTTTTACCACACTAGCGTCATTTTTCTTCGATTCAGACAGAATGGCTTTGTTATCACTCAAAATACTTTTTCCTTCTTCTCGTTAAAACTAAGTTCTTCGAATACTACTCTGTACTGCGGACAAGAAGAGACTGGGTCATAAAAATGTCATTTTTCTTTTTTTTTCTTTTTTAATTTGGTCATCAATTATCGGGATAAATTGCGTAAATCGGTTTTTAAGGAAGAGAAGGGAATATTCGAAACAGGCATTAACTACGTTGTTAACACAGTGGTATCTTCATACAATTTACTTAATCGTGATCAAAATCTAAATTCTACGTATAATAGAATACATTGTCAAAAAGGCAGGCGAGGAGAATTGATGAAATTACGATGTACGATGTTGAAAAAGCACCACTCAATTCTCACAACTAACCTCGAAACAAACGAATGGTGACTTGTTAGGAAAAATTATACGATTTGAACATGGATCGAGAACAGAAGCCTTTAAATCACCTGCCTTTGCATCTAAAAAGCCGTCAGAGGAGGTGCCTCTGCGGCGTTGCATTTATGCGGTTTTATGCGTTTATTATATCAATTAGCCCCAAGGGATATGAATTTTACACAAATTGAAACTAACAACGGCGATAATTGCTCAGCTTGTCGGCACAGTTTTGAAGTTCACGCTCGCTGTTCTCCGCTTGGGAACTTCTTAGCCTCAGTCAGTGTATTTACACTCACATCCCGCTCTTGGGTGTGTATTCATTCTTTGGAAACAGCCTGAAATTTATTTATAAATTGCTTCTTTCTTCATATTTTTCTTATTGTCATTTTCATTAATACCTTTTAAAAAAAAATCGATTCAGAGTTGTTTTGTCGATTGATAATTTGCTTCGAAAACTTACAGTTGAATTTAGTTTGATGATATAGAAATCGAAAAAAAAATAGTTGTTTTTGAAGAAAGTCGTTGAAAACAATACTTTCCAAAAATAATTTTAATACTCTTGGATTATCGAAAATCTGTATCGGGAATATTTATTGAAAAAAACTTCTGCTCTCCTGGTATCATTAAATATAATTTAAGACTTACATAGAGACCCCAGCCGGCAGTCTTTTTGCCACAGGCGTTGAAAATCGTTCAAGAAGCGCGGTAGATATAAAAGAGAATTGGTAATTAAAACTTGTAAATTTGAACCTTTCTCTGGATTTTAAAAGGTGGCTCATTTTCCGACGGGATTTAATTTTCCTGTTTGGTAAACTGTGAAGCCGCTTTCGCACACCTTTATCTACGCATCAATACGTTTTATGCTAATCTATGAAAATATTGTGGAGGATGCGCGCGTAAAGCCTCTTGAAGCAATTTGAAACTCGTTTCAACTTTTGCGCCAAAAAATGGACTACTTGGAGATAAAATTTTTAAGTCATCGACACCTTGCAGTCATCATGGCTAGAAACCAAGGAGCAAAATATAACATGATTGATAATGACCTTGTTATGAATAGATACTGTGGTTCCAGACCGTTTAATCTCCAAAAATATAAAATAATTGTTTGTTTGTATAAAAAAACTCTAAAAATAATTTAATCTTTGAAATATGACCACAGACTAATATGTGTAATATGATTAATTTTCCTTTTTTCCGATTTATATATAAAAATCTCTCTTCATCTATGCTTCTGAGGAAAGTATACATAACAAACATATTCTCACAGCAACTCTTAGCAGCACCCGCGAAAACTAACCATGTTCGTGATTTATTTATAAAAAAAGAAGTAGTTAAAACAAATAGTGTCAATGGAATGAAAGCAATATTTCATGCCATGCGTTTGACACGAGAAATGTCACAAGTGAACCTTTCAAATTGCGTTTGCTTAGGCAGGGTACAGTGAAACAAAAGCTGTTAAACTGTCTCCACACCCTGAGAATTCAATATTAAACTTCATTTAACAAGAACAATACAAATTCCTCATAGCTCGGCCACTTATCGATACCGCCTTAAAGAAATACGAATTAACTTTTTGAAGTTTGTTCTTTATTCAGTGATATAAGCGGAGTGGCAGCGAGTTCTATCAATCGTCACATTGAAAAGCCATAAGGGCAAATATAATTTCATTTTCTCTTGGTAATCTTGATGACGATTTGGTAGTTACATTGTAAGCCTTTTACATTGTCTGTCATTCACAATGAAAAAATACCCGCGTGGTTGAATCGTGCGCTAAATTAAGCTTGGAGAGAGTCAATAATAACTCTTTTTTTAGACAACAATGGATTACAATGCGCTCCTTTCTCTGCTCGACGGCTGGTTATAAAAGAATAACGATGACAGATTTTGGAATTCAGAGGCATCAGCCGCGAACTTGTCGCACAAATGCTTTTCTGTCAAGACCCACGCTATTTGAAATGACTGTATCATTGAATATTATTTGTTTGTTCAGAAAAAGATATTAGTGTTTATTTAGCCGCAATGTCTGCTTTCTTGTGTCCACATTGATTTACAGTTTGGCTCATCTAGAATGACGGCGAAGGGTGCGAAACATCCTCAGCTGGGTTTACTTTATGCAGATAGCTCTTCAAAACCTCGCACGGGAACTTTAAGCTCTGTTCGAGCTTTGCGGGAAGCAACAAAGTTTAACATGCTGTTATCTATCATATTTTAACATTTTGGTAATTTTTACTGGTTCTCCTTCACAGGATCCTCCTCAGTCATAGAATTGGGCCAATCAGAAATGCAATTTTCCACCTTGATCAGAATCACAAACTCTGATCAACCTAACTTTTCTCCTTAGATAGCTAGGTACGTTGTGAGAGTGACAACATGATCGAGTTGTGTTGGGTTAGCCGTTCTAAGCTTTCTACAAAGTGATTTCGTAACCATAATAACAAAGAAGCCAAAACGATCCCTAATCAATGACCTTAAAATCGTAGACGTACACATGAACAAAGCAGGAAAGCTTACTGCTTGGGAATCTTTCTCGTCTGAAATCACAGCTGAAACCGCATTAATAGTTATGACTGTATCTAAACTGACCTGTTTTCAGTACATAGATATGCATGTGTTAGGAAAAAAAAGGACCGTATCATCTTGCAACTCAATTACCTAGTGTGTAGCATCTTGTCAGGTATCCGTATCACAGCTTCGACTCGAATAGGCCACCCGTAAATATCTGCAGTTTTAAGCAGATTTTGTGGTTCAGTTACGGTGACTTTGTTGATAATAATAGAATCCTTTCTGAAGCTTAGTATTATTGTTTTCACGAAGAAACCACCAGTTATCCTTTGTGTTCTGTCTTCACTTACTAAAGACTTTCTCCATAATGATTAGAGTATTTAAGTCTGCAACTTTTACTTGTTTAGCGGCGTAGGCGTCTAAATGACACACTGAGCTCGACGAATAACAAGTGGCCGTAATACAAGAACCCACGCCTTTTCACTACTTATTATCCACGCCTGTCAAGAATTAGTTGCTCTTTACAAGGTCTTGGCGATTTCGACCTTGATTATCAAAGAGAACACTTTGAACTGTTAAATCAATTTTATTATCTCTTTATAGTCGTGTTAAACTGCAGTGCTATGTCACGGCCTTCTCTGACTATTCCGATTCCTTTGAGCATTCAATGCAAAACGTACTGTTTATTTTACGCAATTGCCCCAATTAAGTCGTAAAACTAAGAACTTATATGCGTTACGCAGTTGCTCAACACATTGATACATCTGTGGCGTATTTTGGACATTTGCCTTCTTGAGGCCGTCATGTACACCTTGAATACAATAAGGCAGTTTTCTTTTGAGGGATTTGTTCATTAGCGCGAAAAGTAAATCGTACCATCTTCGATTCAGGGGAACATTTACCAAATCAGAGACAAAGTTTCATTTCACTCTATTATAATCTTCCCAAAGTTAACGTGTCTTGTACTTCATGTCATTTTCCTCTGAGGAAGAATAATTTTTTTTACTGGTCCGCATGTCAGCATGCACACTTCCAGTTCTTTATCACGAAATGAAATAATTATCGTTAAACTTTCCGCTTTTAAGATTAACGTTGCAACTAAATTATACAACGTGACAGAGAAAACTTTCGCTAAAAATCCTTGATAAGGCAAGCTCAATCTTGTCATTTCATGTTTGTCGATGCATAGAAGTTAAAAAGTTACTTAAAAAAAAAAGTGGTTACCCATGAAAAGCAATTTCTTCCCCTCCTCTCCCCTTACCACCTTGAAACTGAGAAACCTCTTGTCAACTCATGTATATCTAGCATATAAACGCTGTACATGTATGTGGAATATACCTTCTTGCAATCTTCGCAAAGGAAAGAGAAACAAAGAAACTTTGGATATTTCACGAAACTCTTGCTTGGCTCAAAAAGATAATGATTAACACGATTTGTCATACATTCTTGGAACGTCTTAAGTTCATTAATGGTTCTATTCATGGCTTGAAGCGGTTTGGTTTCTAAAGAAGAGAATGTTAGTTGAAGATTAGCCCTGCCTTCCTAAAGTCAAAATAAAGTTACAGAAATGCGCTGAATTCAATAAACCTCACCCGCCCGAAGTAGCGATAAGCAGTCAAGGGTTCTTTTCATGGAAACCGGCGTTTCCCTTTTCAAAGCTGTAAACACAGCTGAAAATTTTGTTTAAACTATGTACTTCATCATTTCCCTCCTTCATTGTATGTTTGCAGGTTTGCAGGTACAAAA